GTTTGAACACATATTATATGATTTAACACTATAAATAGACCGAATCGAATCTAACTTGATTTATGAACCTGTTTAAGATACTGCATGAACCAATTGGCTATCTCGGGTTGAACCATCCCGTATAGCTAGGGTTTGGCACGAGATGGGTCGGGTCGATTTTTTGGCTGCCCCACCCCTGCCCCGAAAATATATATCTTATATATATGATCCTATCCTGATTTTTAGATTAAAACCTTGACCCCTATCCATACTAATATGAATATATTAATATTTAAAAATAATTAAAATAATATATTTTATAATAATATAATTATAATTATTGGGATAAAATCCACATGCACAATGTAAAACTTTATTAGTTTTAAACAGATTTAGGACCATTGAATGAGTGAAAATAGATAGCTGAGATTAACACTAAAAAAGGAAAAAAAAAAATTCACTCATCTAACAATCATAAATATGTGTAAAACTAAAAAAAAATTAAATTATGTAAGTGGATCTTAATCCATAATTATTTTTAAATGTTTAAAATAATATATTTTATTATATTTTAGTAATCAAAAATATATTTTAACAATATAAAAATAAAAATCTCTAAAACATTAAATATATATACATACATATATATATATATATATATATATATATATATATATATATAAAGATAAATTATCTAGTCGAACGATCGATTTGTTTCACCTTAAATTTGGTCCCGCCGTACTCTAAAGTTATATACTATACGATCCGTTTTGTCTTGAACCTTGAAATTAAAAAAAAATCTTATAAAATCGGGTCAGATCGAAATCCGTCCAAATTATATATTTTGACCATTCCTACTTATGGCTTTTGATTTAGTAAATCAAACTAACCGTTTTTGAAATTTGATTTGGACAGCAAATGAAATATGTGACAGATTTGCTTCAAGTGGATTCCATAGCAACATGATAACATACTTGACTCAGGAGCTAAACATGCCCCTGGTTCAAGCCTCCAACACCCTCTCCAACTTTGGTGGAACATCCAGCTTCACTCCCCTCATCGGTGCTCTGATTGCCGATTCATTTGCCGGTCGCTTTTGGACCATCACCGTTGGCTCTGTCTTTTACGAACTGGTCTACATCTCTCCCACACTTTTCCGATTCTCCAGTTTCGAATCTAGTTTTCCATAAGTCGGATCATGTTGGCCTCGTTGTTGCAGGGTTTAATTTGCATCACCATATCGGCCGTGCTACCATCGCTCCGTCCACTGCCATGCCCCACACAAATAAACTGCCAGGAGGCTTCGGATTTCCAACTCTGGGTATTGTACATCTCTCTTCTCCTCACATCGCTCGGCACCGGCGGCATTAGGCCATGCGTCGTGACGTTTGCTGCGGACCAATTCGGCTCGGACAAAGTGATCACGGGTCGGTCCGAAAAGTGGAATTTCTTCAATTGGTACTATTTCAGCATGGGGTTAGCCACATTGACTGCCTTGACAGTGGTAGTTTATGTCCAAGAACATGTGGGATGGGGTTGGGGGCTTGGGATCCCAACCATTGCCATGATCATATCAATCATTGCCTTCCTTATAGGCTCACCCCTCTACAAGAAAATGAAACCTGGTGGCAGCCCATTGATCAGATTGGCTCAAGTCATGGTTGCAGCCATTAAGAAAAGACATGAAATTGCACCAGACAACCCCAAGCTCTTGTACCACAACAATGAGCTTGATTCAGACATTACTGTCCATGGAAGACTTGTTCATACAGATCAATACCAGTAAGCTATTTCCTTTTTAATTTTGAAGAGAAAGTTATTCAAATGCTTGAATTGATCATTCAATCTTTGTTCACAGATGGTTAGACAAAGCTGCAATAGTGACAGAATCCGAGTCTGCAAATTCCAACTCACCAAATCTATGGAGGTTAGTGACAGTCCATAGAGTTGAAGAGCTTAAAGCTATAATCCGAATGTTGCCGATTTGGGCCGCGGGGATTTTACTTGTCACCTCGTCCTCACACCTGCATAGCTTCGTCGTCCAACAAGCTCGAACCATGGACCGACACTTATCGCCATCGTTCAAAATCCCGCCCGCAAGTCTATCCATCTTCAGCATCCTAACCATGCTCTCGGGCCTGGTCTTGTACGAACGCATGTTTGTTCCGTTAGCAAGACGGTTCACCGGACATCCTTCGGGTGTCACATGTTTACAACGAATGGGAATCGGTTTCGTGATCAACATCGTTGCCACGATCGTCTCGTCAATAGTTGAGACGAAAAGGAAATCCGTGGCAGCACATCACAACTTGTTGGATGATCCGAAAGCCATAGTTCCCATCAGTGTGTTCTGGTTAGTCCCGCAGTTCTGCCTCCATGGTGTTGCCGAAGTGTTCATGTCGGTCGGACACTTGGAGTTCCTTTACAATCAGTCACCGGAGAGCATGCGAAGCACTGCAGCCGCCCTGTATTGGATAGCAATATCCACGGGAAACTACATAGGTACATTCCTAGTTTCACTTGTTCATAAGTACACCGGCGAGAACAATTGGTTGCCGGACAGGAATCTCAACAGGGGAAAACTGGACTATTATTATGGGCTTGTTAGTGGAATCCAAGTCCTCAACCTCATTTACTACATCTCTGTTGCTTACTTTTATACTTACAAACCCTTGGAAGAAGAAGAAGAAGATGATGATGGAGAATTCAATGGAAAAAAGATTTCTGAAATTGGAGTTGAGCTTGCTAAAACTGAAACAGCTTAGAACTTGGTTCTTTTGCCTGTATATTTGGATTAAATATTTGTGAACTTAAAAGAATAAATATGAGAATTAACTTTTATTTATGTTTTTTTCTCTTCCGGTTCCAAGGTTACGTCTGACTAATCCAGATTGAATCGCATCGCATATCTAGTTTTAGTCAGTGAGTCTCCCAGTAGAGATTTAACGTATATACAAAAATTCGAATTCGATACTTGCTTAAGCGATATCAAGTTGCTTACCACTTGAATCAATCCAGTTGATAACTTTTATTTATGTATTTTATTTAGTATTTAAACTATGGATTTGAATTAAATTTATATTTAAATAAAATTTGTAGTTAAATATGAGAATTAATTTATTTTATTTAAAAATGAATTTTTTAAATGAAAATAGATTTCGTTAGGTTTATTAATAAAAGAGATAATATCTAATATTAGAATGAACATATGATTAGAACATATTTTTATAACTATTAATACAAGAAATTAGTCATTTGAGATCATATAAGTATTATACAAAGAAAAGGTTAAAAATAAGTCTAAAAAACTCGAACAAAATATAGATACAAACATATTCGATAGTATCGGAAATGAACTACAACAAATGATCAAACTATTGAAAGATCGTCGACAATAGCAAATTAAAGTTGAGCGTCGTAAGAAAACTATATTCGGACGCAGAATGTGTTTTCAAATCTAATCTGATGATCCAAAGAAGGAAAAATCAACAGAATAACAAATAAGTGTTATTTTGATTAGTTGAGACATCAACAAATCTAACCATAAAAAAAACTAAACGAAAAATCGGTAAACCGATTGTAAACATGTCAAAAGTGAAAAAAGAGTATCGAAATATAAACGAAAGCATACAATATAGACATAAAGTATAAGTTGTCGATGACCAATATCAAGATTTAAATAATAAAAGATTAAATTATAATTTAAATTCAAATTCAAATTTCTTACAATTTGACATTGATAAAATTCAACTATAATTGAATCTAGAGTTGTACATATATTAGAATAGGTTCAATAGTAAAAATTTGCATGTTCAACCTGCAATTTTATGCTAAATCTTATTTAGTGACCATTTTTTTTGTTGAAAAGGAAAAAAAACCGTTTAGCTTTCCGTCTTGTCTACTATTAACAGTTCTTCAGTTTCCTTAGAGTAATCTTTCAGGAAGTTGGTGTCTTCGTGGTGCTTTCCACATCTGTTTGGTGATAAAATCCGCCACACGATTAGTTTCTCTAGGTATGTGTTTCAGATCAACTTTCCAGTTTCTCTTAAGTAATTTTTCAATATGCTGCAAAATCGTAAGTTTCCTATGCTCGATCGATATGCTCTTGATTAGGTTAATGACTTCTCTGTTGTCTGGTTCAAGGATTATTTTTCTTTTTATTTAGTGACCATTTAAACATTATATAAAAGAATTAAAGTTTAATTTTTATTATATAATTTTTAAAAACTTAATATTTAAAAAGATTGTTTTAATATAATTTAAAATTATTTAAAAAATTGTCTAATAAAATTAATAATATATATTAATATGACCTTCATTATAAACTTTTCTAATTAATAATAGGGTAAAGTACTCCTTTGACTATAGGTGATGTTTTATTAAGTTCATTAACTATTAAAAGTTACAAAATAATCATTTGATTATAGGGTATTGCTTTGTTGAGTCTCCTAATTATTAAAGGTTATAAAATAATCATCTGACTATTTTGTATGTTCCAAACTCGTCATTTTTTGTTAAAAATTTGATAACAGTCTGAGTTGGATATTAACATATTGACTGAGATATGATATTTTTTAGATTATGAGATCATATTTTATTATATCTCAATCATCAGGTTAACATCCAGTTCAGACTTTCGATAATTTTCTAACGGAAAATGACGAGTTTGAAACATACTAAATAGTCGGGTGACTATTTTATAACTTTTAATAATTAAAGGACTCAACAAAATAACATCCTATAATCGAATGATTATTTTACAACTTCTAATAATTAAGAGATTCAATAAAATATCACCCTATAGTCAGGGACCGTATGCATACTTTACCCTTGATAATATTCATGTGGCATGGTTTTGTTTGTTGGTCACCACAAGAATCTTTGGTAGAACGAAATGATTCCAGAAACTTCAGGAGATAACGGACTATTACATGGGCGAATCACATCCACTTGTTTCCAATCAAGCCGCGATTTGGTAAATCGAATAGTGATTCACAATATAAACCAATTTCCTCTTTCATTACTTGCAAACAAACTCATAGTTGCAATTTGTTAGCGAAAAGGGAAAAGAAAAGGGCGAAGGCTGAGAAAAGAAACGCAGATTTTCTGGTTATGGCGATTGTTGCAGGACTCGCAACGACGTCGTCGTTTGCTATGGTGAAGTTTGAGCGCAACCCTTCGGCTCCAACCACGGGGAAACTCAACCCAGCGGCAGCGAAAATGGGTTCCAAACTTGTGGCTGTGGAAGCGAGGTTTGGTTCTTTCAAGACCGGTGGTGCTGGTGTTTTGGAACGACCCAGTTTTGATCAGTCCCAGTTTGACCCTTCTACACAAGTTCTTGAAGGTCGGTTCGATTTCTTACTTTTCAGCTTTTCCAGTTTTGTTCTTGATTTATTTTGTTAGAAGAAGCTATAAATTGGGAAATTCCAACATGGGTTTTTGATGTGAATCTTTTTCGTTGATTTTCTTGAATGGAAAGTTATGGTTCTTTTAATCAAGTAATTGTTAAAAGATTGACAAGAAAGAGGACGGATGACTTGGTTGTTCAGTTCGTAGTATCTTTATAATTGGTGAGAGTGAAATGATCGAATCTTTGATGTTTATATATATAATATGAGTAAACTATGGTTCCATTTTCGTTTCTTGCTTCAATTTTACGGTCTGATTTAAGCATGGATGTCTAACTTTATCTGTGTTTCATTTTAGCTGTACAACTTTCTTGCCTTGTTTATCAGTGACTTGTTTTAGGTTGAGTATGCTTCAATTTTACTTTCTCATTTAAGCATGGATGTCTAACTTCATTTGTGTTTCATTTTAGCTGTACAACTTTCTTGCCTTGTTATCAATGACTTGTATTAGGTTCAGTTTGCTTCAAAATTTCAACATATGAACTGCGAAATGATGTAAATTAGCATATCAGCGCTTCAAAAATAGACGGTGTTTGAGCGAAATTGAACCATTGTTACTTGGATGCTATGTTGCTCGGATGATTATACCTGATATCCATGTTTGAATATGTGGGATATAAGTGGCTGGTACTGTTACTTTAGATAAATGAAGGGCTTTAGATAATATAGTTTGGTTAAAACCTACAAAGATGTGTTTAGTTATATCCAAGTAAATAGGACTTATTTGCTGTGCATGCATGCTTCTATATATTAATATATGTGTATCGCTGTGTTTTTTTATCAAATGCTTATACACTTTTTCTTCCATTAATGGCCTAACTCATCTGAAATTTCTTAGATTAAGCCAAAAAAAAAAGTAGGTTTATAAATACAAAAAAACAATTCATTTTCCCGTGTGAGAGGTTTGTGATGGATAACTTATTTACCATGTTTATTCTGACAATCACAGGTGGTGATATAGGGCGTTCAAAAGATAGAAAAGGTACTGGCAGTGGAGACAGTTATAGAGTTTTGCTGGTTGACGATGCCCGCCATTCAGAAAAATTAGGTAATTTATTTGCATAACATTGAGCATACCTAAAAATATAGGTTTACGTAAATGAGTTAAATATGAAAATGTACATGTTCAGTGTTCTTTAATAAAAGAGATTCTTTTGCGGTTTTCATTAACAGGTTTGTATTTTCAAATTTTAGAAATTGACATCAGTATTTGGATGGTTTCATTTAGTGTAGTTATCAATTTTGCTCGTTTGCATTTTGTATGGAACATAATGGATAAATTATTCAGCTCCGGGGTGCAGGACTAGAATGCAATAATGTACAAGGACTGTTTAGTTATTTTAACTGAAAAAATCGTTTAGAAGCCAATATTGGTTCATCTGTATGGAGCTTCTAATGCTCTGGTTATGTGGAAATTCACTAGCCTATCGAGCAAACTAAGTTGTTAAAACATTTTAAGCAATTTTTGTTTTTTCATGCATATTTATCAAAACTTGTGTCTGTTATTTTCTTGCAGTTGCGAAGGTTTTGCCCCAAGTTGTTCCATCTGTTACACCTGATGATGCAAGAAAACTGTTTCATGAATCGCGTGAAAATGGGGTGGCAATTGTGATAGTCACGGTTAAGGTATATGTTTATATGCTGGAATCATGAATTTTTTGTCTGAATATATGCTTGTTTTTCAACTTGTTTCGTCTTTTGCATTTGCTGAATTTCTCAAAAGAATATATGAAGTCTGTGATCAAGAGTTCAGAATGCAACATGTAGTATTTTTGCTCTTCCCTTTAAGCATAGGTTAAATATTTCGAGTCTAAATTATAACATGACCGAGTTGTCTGCTGCTTACCTTATTCTCCAATGCAATTAGGATAAAGTACAAATGTTTTTAAACAATGTGCTAGTTCATCATTTTAGGAAGATCCTACAATAAATATTCAGTATTAAAATGCACTTAGCTAGTAAAGCTTCCCTTTGCTCATCTGCACCCTCACTTACCTTTTTATTTCTTCATACAAGCATTGCTTTCTAATACAATTTTTTCTCGTCTCCTATGTAAGCTATATTTGTTGTACATATGAATTCATATGTGGCTGTCTGTGTTAAGATTTTAAAAAAAAGTTATGTCACCATTTTGTATGCTAATGGTGAAAGATGAAGCTTCATTGAAAACAGTGATGATCCTGTCATCGAATAGGTTTTGCCAAAGATAAATGGATCTTTTTTATGATCACCATTTTTATAGGATGTCCTGAATATATTACCAGAAGAAGAATTATACTCTATGATAAATAAGATTCATGTAATTTGATAACTTAAACTCTTCGGTGCACAGAAAGCGTTTCAAAATTGATGAATTTAGTAACTGGTTGTTGTTGTGTTTGCATTAATAGTTTCTTTTTGGTGTACATCGAAAATGTTTAAGCAATATTTAAGAGGCTAATTTTGCTGCAAGTGTTGAATTCTAGTGACTAATACCTGTTATATAGTTTATGGATAAATTGATATGTTATTTGTCTTAATTTCCAGGAGCATGCTGAATTCTATTCGCAAATGATGGTGCGCGGGGGATTACGTTCCATTATCGAGCCGGATTCAAGTGTAGTGTAGTGGTTGCAAACATTATATCGTACAAGCAAAGACTTGGTTGCGACAATTTTGGAGAATCTAGAATTACATTGAATTGTAGACCCTGATATTAAACTTAGGTGAAACACTGACAGTTCATTGTGATGACTTGAAAAAAATACAGGTTTTGTATACATTCTGTAGTTTTTGTTTTAATGCTACGTATCCTATGAAGTATACCTCCTTGTGTTGAAATTACGTTAGACCTGTAAACCCATCATCTTTATTTTCTTATATTCTCTTAGGTCTTGGGTTTCGAAACTCACTAGGATTAAAAAATTATTAGTTGTCTGTTTTGAACGTTAATATTGAGATATAATAGTCGTTTGAGATGAGAATAAATTTTATTATATCTCAGTCATCTGGTTAATTTTCAGTTTAGACCGGATTGATCAAAAAATGATGAGTTTGGAACATATGAATGGTTTGGAGATGATTTTGTAATTTTTAATAGACAAGGAATTTAATAAAACATCATCCTATAATCGGAAAACTATTTTTGTTATTTATACTAATAAGAATAGAACCATGAGCCTGAATGTTGTAAGTAGGGATGGCAAACGGGAGGGTCGGGTGGGGATACTTCCTCCCTCATTCCCATACTCACTTAATATTTTTCAATCCATCACCCGTCCACCATCTATGATGGGTAAAAATTTTCAAATCCACACCCGCCCACGCGGGTACATTTTCAAATTCATCCTCACACCCACTAGCGACATACCCATCTAGACCCGCCTGACAGCAAACTAATGGGATGTTGGAGTTGATTCCCATACAATTCGTGATGGGGTAGCAACGCATGCTTTAATTTGTCAGAGGAGTGGTTCTACGAATATTATGGAGACAGATTGTAGGGAGCATGTAGTAGCAGAACTGGATTGTTGAGTTGCTTTCGATGTTAATGCTCATAATGCGTCTAATATGGGTTTTGAGGGGCTAAAGAACATGTAAACTGCTGCTTTTGATGTTAATGCATATAGTACGGCTAATTTGTGTTTGGATGGGCAGCATGGACTAAAGAACATGGAAAGTGACGTGGTTAGTGGGATTATAGGTTAAATCAAAGAGCCGAATATTTCCCTAATTAAAGACCAGATTAAAGACTAAATATCCTTAATATTTGGTTAAATTATATGTTATATATTATACAATATTAAAATTTATAAATTAGTCTCTAAAATTACACCTAAATTCATAATGGTCCAAAATTTAATAGATATTTAGTTGGGCGGGCGGATGCGGGGCGGACGGATGCAGGGCGGGTAATGTCTCAAACCCATTACCCGCCCACCACCCACGACCAGTATCACTTTATAAATCCACACCCGCCCACTACCCGCTAAAATTATACCCATCCCCGCTCCAATTGGAGCGGATGCGATGCGGAATCCACTAAACTGTACCCGTTTGCCATCCCTAGATGTAAGTACACAATGTAAACATTAAATTTCATCTCGACTAAAAGAAAAATGTCAAAAATAAAATAAAATGATTTTTTCTAATTTGATTCTTTGTTTATTCAATAAACGAATTAATTTTATGAATGCTCGATTTGTAAAACTAATTATTAATTAAATAAAAATAATCATTTTAAGTTATTCGGATTTTGGTACTGTTGATAATCTTAGATTAAATTTCATCCGGTTTGTTTTGTAACTTTTGAAATATTAGGAGCAAATTAGTCCTTTTAATATAAATCAAGTGATCTAGTCATTGTAATTTTTCAAGTAAATAATTTAAACTATAAACGATACTAGGGTTAAACTATTAGAGTTGCTTAAGTGGTTTATGTGCGCCATAATTCTCCAATAAGTTTGGGTTCAAAATCCCATTTTGGTCACTTATGTTCAAAAAGTAGATAAATGTACGAACCAAACAACCTCAATGGTTAAGAGATTTGTTGTTATCAAATCATATGAAAACCGTATGCGTCAAGGGGTTGAGAGTTATCTTTGAATAAATATTATCTTATATTTACCTTAGATTTATCAAAATAAATAAATAAAAGTATATGAAAAAAATAAACAATTTAGTTCTTATCATGCTACAAAAAGGTCAAATATTTGGTTAATATATCTATTATGTATAATTTATGGATTTAGTCTTTATACTCAAACGTTAACTCAATCAATCAACCGAATCATGTCAAGAGTGGGTGAATAAACTCTTTAATATTTTTTTAAGAAAGTTATAAAAAAAAATAGAGAAAGAATTTGGACAATAAATTAGAGTGGGTCGATTTCTAAAGCAAATCTATATTCACTTTTCAGGATAAAATATAACATTACAATTATACCGTAAAGTTTATACTCAAAACCTTAACAACACTCTCTGAAAGAGAAATACACATAAGCAACTAAAAGTAATTCGTATGGTGAATAAATGTTTGTACAAATAAGCTCTCACCCAAATGAACAATGATAACTCAGGAGTATTCTTATAACCAGAATAAGACAATTAAGCATTAAGAATATTCTTTTTATGAAAGTCAATGTTTGTAAATTAAATCTTGAGTCAGAATAACGTACATATATAATGTAAATATTGGATTTCATCTCGACTAAAAGAAAAATGCTAAAAAAGAGATGAAACGTCTAATTCGATTCTAGGTTTACGAAGGACAATAATTCAATTGAGAAATTAATTTTATGAATGTTGGTGAAGATACTAATTTTTTATCCATTTATTTTTAATATTATTATATTATTATTAATATTATTTTATTTATACTATTATTTTTATTTTATTATTATAATACATTATTTATTAATATTAATATTATTAATATTATTATTTTTACATTTCAGACCCAAATCAGACCCAACCCAATCCAGACCGGCCTAACAGAAACCCTAAAACTCATTTAGGGTTTGATCTCAACTCTAGCCGCCTTTCTTCTCAGTCGTTGGATCTGGTTTTGATCCAACGGCCCAGATGGTTCCAAATGAAACCCACACGACCTTCGCTGCCTCCAAGACCATTTCAGCCACCTCTGATGCACCAGGTGGCTGCTGATTCCACTGCCATGTGGTCCAACGCTCCACACCGACGTTCCAGCTGCTGCCGCCCCTGCCAGAAGCCTCCAGAAGACCCTAACAGCCATCCACGTCGCAGCTATGAGGCGAGTCACCACTATAGTTTGGTGACTCACCAAAGCTTCCTCTATTGACCAGTCCGACGAGAGCCTCATTGAGGCTATATGACCACACCTGCAAAGAGAAGAAAAAAAAACGGACAGAGAGAGCAGAACAAAAAAACCACCCAGCAACAAAGAGACCAACAACGGAGGAAAATCATAGAGAGAAGCGACGAACTCAGCAAGCAAAGAAACAAAAAAGAGAAAGAAACACAACAAACTATAAAACTACCAACGATCCCAGTCAACCACGAATAGAAAGAAAAGAGAAGAAAACTTACCCTGTTCGTCAGTTTCACCATGAAAACCGAAGGTAATACCTACAGTTTTGTTTAGATTTAGGGAAATCTAAAGGGTTTTTAGCAAAACCCACCTTAGATCTAGATAAAGGAAAATATAAGCTGTAATTTGGGGTGTTTTTGTAAAATCCGGCCACCAAAGATGGTGGCCGGCGGCGGAGCTAATGGCTGCCTGCTGGCGACCGGATTCCCTTCGAAAGGGAACCTAGAGAGAAGCCAGAGAAAAAAAAATGCTTCTCTCAGTTTTAAAGAGAGAGGAAGAAAAGGAAAATGAGAGGAATAGGCCGAAGGGCCGGCCATTTGGGGTATTTAAACCCCTCTCCAAACGATGTCGTTTTGGGGAGGGTATCTGTGTAATTTCACGCATGGGTAAACTATACCCGCAGTCCCTCTGTTTTATATGTTTTGCATTTTAGTCACTGAATCAAATTTATGATCCTTTTAATTTGATCTCTTAATTTTATTTAATTTATAATTTAGTCATTGATATAAATATATATATTTTAGGTAAAATAACATGTTTAGACCTTTAAGTTTAATAATTAATATTTTAATCATGAAGGCATGTTTTAATTTATTTAAATTTGATATTCGAATTTGATAGATATTTATTTTAGTCCCTAAATGAATAATAGGAAAAATAGCACATTTAGCCTCTGTAATATTAAATAATTAATTACGAATTAGGATATTTAATTTTAATATGTTCTAATTTAGTCACTAATTTTAATACTTTCATTTAATTACTAATTTTATTATTTTTTATGTTAATATTATAGTTTTAATTTCATTTATTTTAGTTATTGTTTTAATTTTATATACTTATTTTCAATATATTTAATTATTATTATTATTTAGTCATAAATATATATATAATAAATAATATTTATTTGTTTATTTTTATTTGATTTCTATTAAATAAAAATACTATTTATAAATTTAATTTTATATAAATTACTTATAAGAAAAATAATCATATTTTAATATTTATTTATTTTTTAATATTAAGAAATAGGCTGTCTTAAAGCACCTAAAAGTCTTTTTCTGATATTCTCAAATAAATAAATATCCTATTTTTATAAATTATATATATTAATTTATTTTAATTATTTTTTTAAAAATGTTTTATTAATATTTATTTATTTTTTAATATTAAGAAATGGGCTGTCTTAAAACACCTAGAAGTCATTTTCTGATATTTCTAAGTAAATAAATACCTTATTTATATATAAATATTTTCTTAAAATTATATTAATAAATAACATGATTATGAATTAAATATATTTTTGAATTTTTAATTTCCAATAATAGAGACAAACTGTAATTAATGAGTATCAATTTTGGGCGTTGTGGGGTTGCTAATCCTTCCCCAAACGTAATCGACCACGAATCCCTTTTATTATTTAAAAGAACAAATTTTTGGTTAAAACGCAGACCAATTTATCTTTTAACTGATGTTTTCTTAAAAACTCTTTTAAAAGATTATTTTTAGGTATTCGACCTACCTTACCCAAAAGGCCGATGGCGACTCCCAAAATATTTTATTTTAAAACCATTTATTCACATCACTTTTCCGGCCAAGTAAAAATTCGTGCCGAGACGAAAACCGGGTACGACAGTTGGATTCATAGAACTATTAGAGTTAATTTCTTTTTAGTGATCATAGTTTTTCATTTTGATGTTTTTGAAAAAAAAATGTTTGAAGTGAACTAAAATGA